TTGTCTAATCCATGAAACGTAGTTTACCATTCCACCCATAACAGCTAGATATTTTTAAAAGTAGAAGAATAAAAGAATATGCTTTTAACAGTGGTTGCTGAAAGCCATTAGTGGGAAAGGGCTACTGCTCTCTAATCCAAGCGTATTAGCTTCCTAAAAGCATCCAGCTGGCTTTGGAGTGACACAGATGGTTAAACTAGATGGGCTTGTAGTTTGACTCAATATAGGTGTCATGGTTCCAACAGATGAAACTCTTCAAAAGTATCGGCACTACATAGTTAAAGCCAAAAACTGAATTCCCCTCTCCTGGGCACAAAGTAGCAAAGCACAATTCCCTCCTCCAATTAACAGTCATAAACCACATTCCCCAGCTCTCCAGCCCAACAAATCTTTATCAACTCTGGGCACAATAAACTTGGATCCCCAGGGCTGAGTTATTATTGTTATTACTAACTGGACTTTCATCCACATCCCCCCTCCCAGCATCAACTAACTCTAAAAGTGAAAGAGAAAAGATGGCTACATTTCCATCTGTTGTCAAAGCAAGAACATCCAATGTTACCAGAGTTGACATCAAGCTCTGTTCTCCAAGAAAAGCTATCCCTTTGTAACCTTTTCTAGCATATATAGTCCCTGATATTTTAGCCCGATTCTATGTGTTTAAAGTAAACATAAACACTTGATTTGTAAATAACGTCTGTTTTTAAAACAGGTAGAGACAGAATCAATCTCCAAAATCAGACTACCGGTACATGTTCATCTCCCAGGGATATAATATGACCATGAGAACTGACTATATATTAAATAGCAGTAATTGCTACTGTATACTAATCTAATATACCAGTGGCTTTATTAGCAGAAATTAACTGGTGAAACTTTTACAGTATGAATATAAAGCATCATTACTTGAACATATCTGCTTATTAAAGAAGCATGAAAGGCAAAATGATAGGAGTGGATTTAAGAAAGATAACTATAAAGCTAGTATTATATGGGACAATTTTGATGCATGACGCTTGGAAATAAATAAAGAATGGACAGTGCCCTCTACTGCACTCTGCACAACATTTCACAACCTTGAAAAAGCAGCTTCAGCTCCCATAATCCTTAATCAAAATAGTGCTGTCTATGCTAAATGGGAATTATGAAAACTAATCTAAACCTGTAAAAGGCACTATTTGCCATTTTTATCATTTATTGTACTAACATCCATTGTACTTTTAGAACAGTAATTGCTCTCCTTTCAATATAAGACTTGAAGTTTAGCTGTTAGTCATCAAATAGTTACATGCAAGCACAAATTATAAAGCTTTAGGATAATGTGTAAAACAAAGATCAAGTCTTACCAGCACTGTAGCACTTCAGAGAAATAATACATTCCCTAACCTTTCTAAAACATTGTTAAGTATGAATAACCAATAAGGTAAGATAACCTTTATTGTCATTTTTTTACTGTGAGCACATTGGCACATATTAAAAATGAAAATCTGTTGCCTGCTCTCAAAAGAAAGTATATATCTACCCATACACATACATAATACATATATACACATGCTATATACATACATACATATATACTTACACATATACATACACACACACACACACATATATATGTATTAATCACTGTCCATTTTGAATACATAGCAGAAAAAGGAAACTTGAAAGTTCACAAAGTTGATAGTATATCTAGATGTTCTGCTTTGGATACCACAAAGCCTCCTCTCAGAAGGTAACAAGGAAAACAGGTCATGAAGAGGTTGCGTAGTGTCCCAGACAATACTGTGGACCCTGCTTAAGCTTCGCTTATATGTTATGTCCTGGATAGAAAGAAGTGAACTACCAATAATCTTTTCTGCCATCCTCACCATTCTGTGCACTGCCTTCCTGTCCGAAGCAGTAATGCTTCCAAATCAGACAATAACACAATATGACAGGATGCTTTTGATCATCCCTCTATAGAAAGTGGTAAAGACAGGGGAAGAAATAAGTACTTTTCTCTGTGATGCAGAAAATGCAAGTACTATTTTGCCCGCTTCATCAGTGTCTCATTGTCGAGCAACCAAGCTAGCCTACTCATTAGTTTTACACCCAGAAACTTGATGCTACTAGCTACCTCCAAAGGTGTGTGGCCGTGCCTGCCTTTTCTGAAATCGACAATGATCTCTTTAGTTTTTCCTATGTTTAAGATGAGGCTGTTTTTATTACACCAGTTCACCAAACTCTCTTCCTCCTTGCAGTAAGCACTCTCATTGTAAGAGGGTGAATAAGAACCACAACTGTTGTATCATCCGCATACTTCACAATATGGTTGGTGGCAAACTTTGCCCAACAGTCATGGATCAACAAGGTGAGCTGAACCACAGCGGACTTAGGACACCGCCCTGAGAAGAACCTGTGCTCAAGAAAATGGTATAAAAAATATTAGTCCCAACTCACACATATTGGGGTCTATCAATAAGAAAATGAAGAATCCAGTTGCACAAAGGAGTATTAAAGCCTAAAAGGCCCAGTTTGTCTACTAAATACTGGGGAATGATTGTATTAAATGCCGAACAGAAGTCAACAAGTAGCATTTGCACAAGTATTTCTTTCCTTAAGTCAGACATGTCAAACTCGCGACGTCATGTGACATCATGCAATGTATTGGGACAGTTTTGCCATTGCCGACAATGGTGCAGCTTCTGGATGATGCGTCCAGCCCACGGGCTAGCACTTTGACCCCCCTGCTCTAAGTGCACCAAGCTCAGATGGAGAACAGAAGAAATAGCATCCTCTGTAGAGCAATTTGGAAAGTAAGCAATCTGGATGGCAGGTGATTTGGACGATATTGAAAGGCACACCAAATTTTCTCCAAAATTTAAATAAATCAAAATAAAATGAAACATGATCAAATATTCTGTACTGATTTTAATTATATAATATGAAACAATTCTAATCTTATTAAAGATTAATAAAGATTCGATCCAAAACTCAGTACCTTTTTTTAACTTGAATCTCAGCAAATGTATGGGATGCAGTGATAAATGGATAGAAGATCAAAGACTCTTAAAACATGGTAAGCAGAGGTCTATCCTTGAGAAACACAAGGGAAGTCTATAATTTTATATTTGGGCAACAGTCATAAACATTTGTCTCCCATTGGCTGACTTGCTTATAATTATATGCTTATACAGAGTTAAACAGAAATTACAAAGCAAAGTTCTTAATTTCTTGAATAATTATAAACCGTTTTTATGAGTCGTGGGTAGCATTTGAGTCAGCAGAGACCTTCCATCTGTATCATGTTAAATTAACTGCAAAATCCTATATGGAGACACAGAAGATATTCACTAAAACTTTTCACTTGAATGTAGGCCCTAGTGTAACACAATTCCAGTAAAATGCAAAGGATTAATATACAACTGGCATTTTCAAATTTGCATTTGGCAACACATTCCAGGCAGATGTATGGACAGGGACTAGAGGAAAAGTATACTCTTTAAAAATAAATTGTCCTTTCTATAGTTTCCAAATCCTAATCTGTCCAACTACACAACAGATTAAAGATAACTTTGTATAGCTTCTTAGGAAGCATCTAATGAGTCTTGTGTTTTCATGTAAACAGAGTAGTTTTTCACAGACTAGGTAGCAAACTTACCAGAACACAGATGATTTTAAAAGCCATTCTCCAGTTCAGAGAAAAGTGAGCTACAAATATCCTAAAATATCTAGTAGTGATCTAAAAAAGCAGCGCACACAACACCATTTTATGAAGGAATCAAGATTGTGGACAGGGATAAGCAATGAAACTGCTTATTTAAAGTAGGAAAAATATATATTTTTTTACTCAAATGCATTTTATAAATGACCTCAAGCACTCTAAAGAGAGTAAGCCTCAGATGAAGTGAATCCCGTAAATGTTAAAATTTGGAGCTGAGAATATTTTAAACACCCATCCATCCACACTCCACTTTAGCCTAAATCAATAGTGTGGAGATACCACATTCTCATTTTTCTCATTGGAATCTAAAACCAGTTAATTAGTGATTTATATTTCTACAACTCATGACTACAAATTTGTGTTTGTACACTATGCTTGAAGGCGAACTCTTAAATTGAGAGATAAATGGGGTAAAGCAACACAGTTAAATAGGGGAGCTAGTCCTGCCTGTGGAAGTTTCTATGTGCTGATTGTAGGGTGATACTTGAGGGGTGTATGTGTACACATATTCTTGTGAAGTGCAGTTCCACTGGGCGACCTAATTTAATTAACTATTTGTGTTGCAGACCTTATCCTTTGATATGTGGAGCTTAAGTCTAACTTATTTGGGAATTTGAGGAAGTTTGGGTAAAGGATTGCTATCTTTTGATTAATTTAGTTTCAGTTTGACTGTCAATTATCTAGTGATTCTCAGACCGTTGTGGATTCTGTTAATGTTTTAAGGGAAGATGGAAACAGTATAAAGAATAAAATATATTTAGATATAAAACTTCTCACAAGGTAAACTCCAGGGACTTTATAGACGGGTTTTCTGGCAATATTCTGGTATGGGATTTTTGCTACAGGCTTTGCTTCGGATTGTTTTTAAACTTTTAAACTTTCCACTCTACCCCGGTCTCCCATCCAAGTACTATCCACATCCAACCCCCGCTTAACTTTTTGAGGCCAAGATCAACCCAATGTAGCTGATGCAGCGCCAGTCTCCGACGCGGCGTTCCTTATTTGCCCTGAGTACAGACCTGCAGATGTTTTTGCACGACACACGTGCGTGGCCATGCTTCTCGGAACCAGGGTTGGCTCAACCCCGTCTCTTGGGTTTCACGCCCCAGGTGCCGCCGGCTAACCATGCAGGCCCAGCGGGCGAAAAAGTGACCGGGGCGCGGGTCGAGATAGGACCGCAGCTGCAGGGGAGAGCCGGCTTCAGGGGCTCCCCGGCCTAGTCCCCGGGGGCTGGGAGGAGCGGCTGGGCGGGCTTCCCCGGCAGGGGTCGCTACGTCGGCAGGGCCGGCCTGCTTTCCTCCCTCCGGTGGGCGGGCTGAGTTCCTCCCCGCCCGCCGCCCCACCGCAGCCGGAGGGCGCCGCGGCAGCCGAAACGCGATCGATGCCGGGAGCGCGGAGGAGAAGGCGGCGGCGCTGCTGAGAGGGGGGGCGGCCCCGCCCGGAGATGGGGATTCTCAGCATCACGGACCAGGTATGGCGGGCGGAGGAGAAGGCGCCTCGTCTGACCCCTTTCCCTGCGCCTAGCTCTGGCCTCGGCCCTCTCTCTCTCTGCCTCGCTCGCTGGCCCGCCGCGCCCGCTACGCCAGCCAGGGGATGCACGGCCTAGTGCAGAGCCGCCCATTTCGTTTCAGCCGGAGCAGCCTGGCTTCTCCCTGCGGCGCGCAGCTGGGGCCTCGGGATGGAGCCGGCGCTGGGCAGGCGAGAGGCGGCGGGCTGGCCTGGTCCCGGCCAGATGCTACTAAGCTGCGAAGAAGGCCGGCAGCGGTGCCCGGGTTGAGCCCTGCTCTTTCCCGCCTAAGAAGAAAAGAGTTCTTGCCGCCCTTTCGCCGGCGCGCCTCGGTTGCGCCTGCTTTCCCGTTCCCCTAGGCAGCCCTTTCCCACCGCCTGCCTCTGTTTTGGGCCCTCATTTCTGCCTGCGAACTCCTCTCCGTCCTTGTTTGCCTCCTTGCTCCACTCTCTCCTATTTCTGGAGTGCAAGTACTTCTTCCCAACCTAGGCAGGTCCTCGTCTTAGCAGCGGCCCCCAAAAAGGAGATTTTTGCTAGCCCTGTAATTTCTCCTAGCACCATACTGTAGGAAAAAAGAGGATTTGGGCCTAGTGGAGCTTAAAGTATTTTGCATTAGTTCTTAAAGATGCAGAATCCTTCTCAGATCATTCATTTCATATCCTGCCTTTCCTTCAGGAGCTCGAGGTTGCATATAGAGGACTAGCTCCTCCGTTTTTTTCCCCACAGCAATAACCCTCTGTGTTTGTGCATGCGGGCGTGCATGTGCATGTATCTGGCATATCCAGCAAATTTGCTTCTTATCCTTATTCTCCATCCCTGCATCCCTTTCTGCTTCTTCCTCAGACTGCTACATTTCTTTTTTGGGTACTCTTAGTACTTTGTTTACATCAGGCAAGATACCAGTACAAGATTCAAGCTTTTTACTTGTCGAAATACATTTTTTAAATCAGTGGATGAGGTCAAATAATTTGTTTCTGGGTAAGTATTTAGTCATACTTTTGGTGAAGCTGTATTGTGATACATTCAGCCAGTTAGAGAAGTATGTTTTGGCGGCCCTTTCTGTTTTTGAACACTTTAGAAGATAAAGCTTACCTCTTTTTTCTCATTAGGCCACTACCATGTTTGTGATTTTCTTGTACATTTCTGGTATAGTTTATTGTCCTTTGTTTCTCTCATAGTCTGCATTTCTTTTCATTTGCATTTTTCCTGGCAGTTTATTCACATTGTTTCTTTTGCAATATCCATATATCTACAGCACTTTGGGTTGTGGTAGTACCTGAATGTTAACATTTTCCTTTTCTGGCACCTAAATGGAACTCGTTGACTTTTTTGTGTGTGTTCTTTTGAAAGTTATAACTTGTCTAGTTTTTATCTTCTTAGTCTTGATTGTATGTAGCACAGTGATCAGTGGCTCATTTTACAGGATTTAAATGAAACTTCCAAGTATTTTGATTGCATAGTCACGTCATATACTATTTCTCTTTCTTAATGCAGAAGATATAACTAACCACAGTCACATATCATACTATAATATGATTCGATTTTAGCTTAAGATGTTATGTGAAGGCAGCCATTTATCCATTAAGCTATAGTTAAACAAGTCATGTTCATCTTTTCCAGTGTTCTGCTATTTTGAGCATAATAGAAACATTTTAATACCAGCCCACCCAGTTTCAGGGTCTTTTTCTTTTTCTCTCTCTTGGATGGACATTTTTGCTACAATGTGGTTTTATTACAGTGTACTGAGTATTAAGATATACTTCCTATAACCATGTTTTTATTAGGATTGTGATGGGAGGGTTTCTTGTCCTGGTTAACCAATGGGTATAAGATTCTTCAGAAGCAGCTCTGACTTGTTTTCCTACATTATAGTGGAAAATATTGAAATGGAATTTTAACACGGACATATATAGACCTCTTTATCTAGATAAAATAAGTTTGATGTTCAAAAAATATAGTGGAAGATACTTGTTTTGGAGTTGCAGTTTGAATATATAATAATATATGACAAATATGAGTCAGCAGTGTGATACAAATAGAATTTTTTTTCATCTTCATCAGTAGAAGTATAATTTCCAAAACACAGAAAATAATTTAATGCGTTCTGCACTTGTCAGACCCAATGCTGTGTTTCTGGGAATTGCACTAAGAAGGATCAGAGAAGAGTAAACAACATGGTAATGAAGCATGAAACTTAAATTCTGACAAGGAGAATTTGAAGGAAATGAATTGGATTGTTGCACCAGAGCCTGTCACTCAGTGTTATCATCCCAAAGTGCAGGATACAAAGTAATTATAATAAAGCTATAACAGAGTCAAGTTGAATATAATAAAACAACAGTAAAAAATGTTCTGGTAATGTTGAGCTCTGTTTTGTGAATGTTTAAATAGAGGCTGCATGATTGTCTGTTGAGATTACTTTATATTTACTGGACTCCTGCACAGAGGAGGTTGGATTCAGTGGTATAAATGGTCCCTTTGATCTTTCTGATTCTAATTTTTGGATCCCATGGCCCCCAGCAGATGGAAGCAATGTCTCAGTTTAGATCTACCAAAAATGAGTATTGATATTATTTTATGTCCTGCCTTTCCTTCCCTGAAATATCTGAAAGGCAGCAGGTTATCTACCATACATTTAGGGAGTAAGCATTTCACTTAACATCAGTAAGCTACAGGTCCTCCTTAACCACAATTGAGACCAACATTTTTGTTGCTAACAGCTGTTTTAACAAGGCAGTTAAGTGAGCTGTGCCTCATTTTGTGATCTTTTTGCCACTGTTGTTAAGCAAATCACTTCAGTTGTTAAATGAATCATGCAGTTGTTAAGTGAATCTGGCTTCCTCCGTTGACTTTGCTTGTCAGAAATTGGCTAGGAAGATTACAAATGGTGATCAGGTGACCTCCCCCAGACAGCGCAATTGTCATAAATACATGCCAGCTGCCAAGCACTGGAATTTTGATCACGTGACTGTGGGGATGTTGCAGCAGTCGTAAATATGAAAAATGGTCATGTGACTTTTTCCAGTACTGTTATAACTTTGGTCACTAAATGACTGGTTGTGAGGAATACTTGTATACAATATAGTATTCATAAGGAGCTTGTATGCATAAACAGAAACATTGCCTTATCCATTTCTTTGAGCTAGAAGTCAGAAAGCGGCTTTTTAAAATACAGACTACACTGAGTAATAATCTCCACAATATAATTGGAAAATGTGTTTCAATAATTCTAATTTAGCCATATGCCAATTTTGCGAGTTAATTTTTAATTCTCAGTCCTGGAAAAATCCTAGGTTTCTAAATTATAATATTGTTAGATTCTCCACCCTATTGCCATGCCCTTTCTGGCTGTCTGGTTTAAAACATTAGTCTAGAATTTAAAATATTTTATTCCATTAACCTGATTTATATAAATGGAGAGTTAATGTGAAATTTTCCAAGTTTAGCACATCTGATAAAACATATGCACTTAATTTAGATTTTTGTGACCTTAAGGACAGTGGGCTGTATATCATACAGGTTGCTCCAGGAACTGCCTGGACCAAGATTATAGGGCATAATGGGTTCTATAGGAAGAGGGTTTTTTTTTATGAATGATACTGAATCCACTGCATTCCATATGGATGACTCATCTTTCCCCCTTCATCCTCCCTCCTTTTGCTATTGTGTCCAAGGACTTGGAGGGAAGAGAACCTGAGGTTAGCTGGATTGAAAGACTTTTCTGAGAAGAGATACAGAGGCTGAAGGTTTTCCTCTGGAGGATGAAATGAACAGATGGGATTAGATCTGCCTTGTACTAACTAGACTGTACTGAGTATGTAGGCGGACCAGGAGGATATTCAGTACAATTATCTGTTATATATATATATATATATATATATATATATATATATATATATATATATATATATATATATATTCATTCATTCTTTTTTGTGGAGGATTTGTGCAGTTTAGAGTGATGCCAGGAAGATAAGTGAGTTGTCTTGTTTGTGTTTTTGATTATATTTCTCTTTGGTATAGGACTTGTACACAATGAAGTATTTTTTGTTGTAGATTTCTAAACCACCACAGCAACACAATTCTTAGTAGTGTATAGAGATAATTCATATATACACCTACACCATAATGTAACAGTTACAAAAGTTAAAAATCATCCCCCCCTCTCTCTCTCACACACACACACCAAACACAAACACCCCTATCTGCCATTTTCCAATAAGTTGCATTTTAAAGCCTTCAAGAAGTTTTCTTTCACTTCCTTTAGAACAGACATGTCAAACACAAGGCCTGGGGGCCGGATGCGGCCTGCAAAACCATCCTAGAAACAGTGAGGGAAACGGCTCCCACTGCCTTGGCCCTGGCCCATGCCGGCCAGCTGGCCGGCCAGGAGCCAATGTACAATTTTGTGGTGGCCATCTATGCTGAAAGGCATTCAGTCTTAGCACCACAAGGCTGTCCAGAAACAGTGAGGAACCAGCCCCTGCTGTGTCAGCCCTGCCCCCTGGGTGCATGCCGAGGAGGTGTCACCCTTTGTGAGGAATGAAGAAATGGACCATGCCTTGGCGCTTGCCCTGGTCCCACCCCCTTCTGCCAGAACCCTCAGATCTGTCCCACTCCTGCCCAGGCTCCTATAGGCACCCTTGACGTGAATGATGTAGAGCTGGTCATGCCCACCCAGTAGGCCACACCCACCCTGGCCACACACCCCCCGAGGGCAACCGCAATGCTGATGTGGCCCTCAATGAAATTGAGTTTGACACCCCTGCTTTAGAAGGACAACACCTATCTTCTTCAAGGAGACTGTTCCATAACATTTAAGCCATTACTAAAAAAACAGCTCTTCTTAGCAAATGCACACACCCACACAAACACCGGGCAATATGGAGCTGAGTGCCAAACCCTATAGGATTTTATGAGTTAAAAGCAGCTCTTAAATTGCACCCAGAAATCTGTTGGCAACC